CTATTGTTTTTATATATATATATATATATATATATATATATATATATATATATATATATATATATATGTGCACAAGCTACGGCCTCAAGCCCAAAAATGCCCAAAAATGCATAAAGCATCAACTACGGCCTCAGGCCCAAACATGCATAAAGCATAAACTACGACCTCAAATCCAAATATGCATAGAGCATATAAACTACGGCCTCAGGCCCAAATACAAGTGTTCAACATTCAGGGATTTAAATTCAGGAACTGAGAATCATACTGCAATATGTGATGCTGAAATACTGAATCATATTGAGTTACAAGATACTGGAATACTGAATTGGACTAGACTGAGACATGTATTCTTGAACTGATTATGAAAACTAAAACTTCAATTGTTTATGACATGCTGAGAAATCTAGACCGAGACTCATGGGTATCAAACCCAAGTCTATAGTGATTACGCACTGAGCTCACAATGTTCAAAATGAAAGTCATGAATGAGTTATGAAGGTAGATAATAGAAGTTCTGCAACTATTCAAGGAACTAAGTTTAACTATATTTTTGAGGCAATTAGTAACGTCGTAAAAGAAACGTAGTAAGGGAGAATTGTTAACATTCTCAAACATAGAGAGTTAGCCTCACATACCTTAACTTCCTGCTCTTGAGCGCAGTACAACAATTAAGCTCAATGTATGATTTAAGGGGCTATCAATGTATTTGGCCCAATTTAAAACATAACAAAAATGGTGATTATTTCAACTCTAAATAATTACTACAACCATATTTTAGCTGGAGTCGCGAAGATCAAAACCTAATGTAGGAGAGGCAAATATTATGAGAGTCAAATCATAAACAAACTAACTGTTATATTCAGAGATACGAATCTATAAAGTTGAGTCACGATTTATTTGATAGAATGTATTACTCTTTACTCAAGTTTCTAACTCTTCTTGGCTCCTGCCTTGTTCCATCTTGTCAATCGCTTGTTGACTTCATTGTTTTGTTATTTGTTCCCAAAAATTCTTACTTTCATAATCAACAAAGTAAATTTCATTTTCATTATATATAAATATATTTAAAAAAAGACAGCTCGGTGCAGAAAGTATTGCTTTCATGCAGGGTCCGGGAAAGGGCTTTTAGGGTGTGATATATGCGACCTACCTATAGATCACGCGGAAACAACTTGACCATTGTTCTAAAATTCCCTTCACTGTGAAACAAGCAAAGCACATCATAGATTTGTACATGTTAACGAGAAACACATGAGATTATCAAAATAAAATAAATCTATCGTCCAAAAAGAAAAAACCTAAAGAAGGAAAATCCACACAAATCACCCACATGATCAATTCAATTAGAATCACCAATTGACTCTACGATTACACATAACTTATAGGAGTAACTCAAAAACAACTTCAAGTAATATGCATATTTAGAAATCTCAAACTAAAAGTTGCACTTACCTAATTTATGACTCTTCATATGTTAAAGAATAATACTACTTCATATTTAATCATTAATAAAATTTTACTCTCTGTTACAAAAAGAGTACGATGACCAGACCTTCTAATTTTCGCTCTTAATTAGGACATCGATTTCACAGTCTTAATAAAATAAAATTTAGACAATAAGAAACTACATAAAAATATACTAAAAATTGCATCTTTTATATTAAGAATATTTAAATAATGTATCAAAAAGTTGTAGTAAGAAAAAGTTATTTAACTTCTCAAATAGTACTAATATCATATAAAGTGAAAAAAAAAGATATAATAAACTTATATTTCTCTTTCAAGTCCTGAAGCTTGGTGTTCACACTATTCTCCATTATTGTGAAATTGTAAAATATATGAGTGTATATTCTGTACCTAAAAAAAATTCATTCAATTAAATTATTTATTAGAAAATTACAATGACTGTGCAAATAATTTAATCTCAATATTATTTATATTTACGAACAATAATACTAAGGATAAAATAAAGAAAAAATAATTAATTAAATCTTAATTTTCTAAAGTAATAAATATTTTGGACTATTTATTTTAGTAATCATGACAATTAGTAGGTGTTTGGCCATAGGTTTTGGAAGTTTTCTTTTCAATTTTTTTTAAATATGTGTTTGCTTATAGAATTAATCTAGTTTTTGGGAGATTTTGAAAACTAAAATTTTAAAATCCAAATATAACTTAATTTTTTCTGGGATTACTTTTCAAAAAAAATATTTGGGAATCTATGTTCGATTACAAAATAGGAGTATTTGTTAACAATGTCTGTGCAAATAATTTAAAACTCAGAATGTAAAGTATCACAGATTCAACTTTAACCAAATAGGCCAAATACATATATACATACCATTCAACTTGGCACTATTTTTTATTTTAACACTTTATTTATATCTTGTTCCATTTTGGCCCTCCAACTCTATTTTATATGTTCCATTTTGGCTCTCCAACTTTATTTCTTATGTTCTACTTTTAACACAAAAGCTGAAATCAGTGTAAAAATATAGTGCGTGTGTATACAAAAATCTGAGGTGTAATACATATCCAATTAAATATTAACACTTGGTTTTATAACCCATGTCAAACGGGTCAATACTAAAATACCCTAACCCGATTGTATATTTCCATCCACTGTTGCTTCATCTTCATTCTCTAAGTTCCAAAGCTTTTATCTGTCGATTTCATACCTGACCCGTTTAGATAAAATAAACCAATAAAAAATATGATCGGGTTCTGGTATTTTAATATTGACCCGTTTGACATGGGTGAAAAAATCAGGTGGCAATATTTAATTGGATATTTGTTATACCTCAAATTTGTGTATGCATGCGCATTATATTTTTTGCACTGATTTTAGCTTTTGTGTTAAAATGGAATTTAAAAAATAGAGTTGGAGGGCCAAAATGGAACATATAAAATAGAATTGGAGGACCAAAATGAAACAAGTTAGAGATAGAGTGCCAAAATGAAAAATGGTGTCAAGTTAGAATCCAAATATTGTCCAAACAAACCATTTTCGTTCAAAATTTGGCAGTAGAACCAAAAAATCCGCAGAGAGAGGGCAAAACGGAGCGGCCTTTCCTTACAAAAGAGCAACATTTCTAGTTCTTAGCAGAGTGTAGCCCGAAAGTAGAGAAGAATTTCAATATCTACAGAAATGGACGATTACACAAGAGAAATGATGGACCTCAAAACCCTAGTCACTCGAACCCTGGAGAAGAAAGGCGTCCTCGCCAAGATCCGAGTATTTACTATTTTCCCCACTTTATCTCCTCTGCATTTTCCTTTTTTATATGTGCTCTCTTCTAATTTCTCCTTTACTTGACCTAAAATGATGCTAGGATCCGATCTGGTAGTTATCTATCTATGCTTTAAAAGACTATTTATTTATAAAATTAAAAAAAGAAAAAGAAAATGTTCAGTGCAGAATTCATGGGTAGTGAGAATTGTCTATGCTTCAAAGTGGAACTTTTGGATTGACTGTAACAGCAGCTTATAGAAATATCAAATTTCATGCTTACAAGATAAAGATATTCAACTCATTTTTCCACTCGCATCGCACTAATTCTTTTATGTACAATAACAACAACAACAATCCAGTATAATCCCACAAGTGGGGTCTGGGAAGGGTAGTGTATACACATACCTTACCCCTACCCTGGGGCATAGAGAGGCTGTTTCCGATAGACGCTCGGCTCAAGAAGATGACAAGAGAATTCGTTTATGTACAAAAAAGAAGAGGAAATAGAGTTAGAAAAAGGCTGAAAGTGAATGTGTACCAGGTTGGATATTTAATGCTCGAGAATCGTAGAAAAAACTAAAAACTGATGATCTCCAATTGTTATGTCACATTTGCTTCCCTTCCTTTTAGTTGGATCATTCTTTTTTTGTTGTAGATTGCATACCCTATGAGATAATTTTACAATTTTACATATTTTACGGTGTGACGTTTCTTAGGCTGAACTTAGAGCGAGTGTTTTCGAGGCAATTGAAGAGGAGGATAAGGTAATTGAGAAGGATGAAGGCTTGCCCCCTGCACTATTGGGTAGCTGCAATGATCAGGCAAAACACCTCCATAATTCACCTTCAGGTCATTTTAATGTTTTTGTCCGTTTTGTTATTCTTCTGGTTATAAATCCTTGCAAATGTTTGTGTTAAAGATGGAAGGTAAGACATACTTATCTTGTCTAGAAGAATTCTATCTGACTTTGGTAATATATCAGAAAGCTGAGTTGTTTTAAAGTACTGCAGCAGACCACTTGTTAAAAGTCTCAATCTATTGTACGTATTGACCTTTGGTCGTTTAGGACATGGGAGTTCAATCTAAATATCTGTTTTAGGATCTACTGCTGTGAACCTCCCGCATGATAAATCTAAATCTTGCTTGCAAATGGCTACACCTTTTTTTTAATAATTCATGATTTGGCTTTTGATGCCTTGTTTTGTGAAGCATGATATTACTTTCCTGTTTCAAACTGATTTAGTTTGTAAGTTGTGATGAAATTTGATATCTAAAATAACTACAAAGTACCATCCCCAAAATCAATTTCCAGTACTTTATATTAAAAGAGTCTTAGAGAAAGTCCTAGAGAGTGTCATCTATCAGCAAAGTTAAGCATGTACTTGAACTCTGCATTTGTGTCTTAAAAGGCATTTTCTGAACGAGTTTCGCTGAGAGCCCCAGGGTAAAAATGCACCGAGGCGTACTAGCGTGGCATAAGTATCGTGCAACATAAGTCCCAATCCTCCGGGCATTCGCTTAGGCGTAAGTTCCAACTTTTTGGGTGTTCATTTGGGGCGTGCGCCCAGATAACATTTCCAAATTGGAACCAAAATTGCTTAATTATCTTTTTTAGTATGATAATACTCAGAAGTTAACTCATAGTAAATTTTCAAACCAGAAGAACTCAAAAGTCAAAAAGCTTTTTCTAATTTCATAGAGCCCGTTTGGATTAGCTGGAAAAAAGTAGCTTTTAAGTGTTGGAGCTTATTTTATAAATAAGCAGTTACCTGTTTGGATAAAAGTGCTGAAGCTTAAAAAAAAGTTGTTAAGTGTTTGGTAAACAAGTGTTGGTAAGCACTTTTTCTGTTAAAAAGACAGAAATATCCTTAAAGTTAACATAATAAAGTAGTTGATTACTACAATTTATTTAATTATGAATTAATCCAAAAAAAATTATATTTTAATTTAATTGATTACTTTAGATAATTTTTATTCAGGCTTAGGTTTGATTGGCCAACCTCAAAACTTAAGTAACTCAAATTCATTAGAGATCTAGCAGCAGCTAGTGGCAACGTTGTTGTCAAATTCAAAGGGTTTGCTATTTATGTTCTGTTTTTTCTTCTTTTCGCATATGTTCTCTTTTAAAATTTACGGATCTTGCTCTTTCTTTTCCAAAGCTTTCTCTTTGTATTTGAGTTAACTTTTTGATTTAGAGTGGATTTTGGCATGAACACATACCAAAAATGCAGACAAATGAAGATGAAGCAAAGAGGAAGAGGAAAGAAGATGATTGTTGTCTTCATAAGTGTAGAAAAGAGGAGAAACACGAGGTTTTAGGATTTTATTTGACTGAGGGTAAATTTGGTATTATGAAAACTTATAATGGACAAGAAAGTAATATCCTTGGTCAAAACAATATGGCTTTTAAGCCAATTTTGAAAAAGTTGGGTTACCCAACTTATTGGTTTTGCCCTTTTTAAAGCAGATTTTAGCTTTTTTTAAGCCCTTTTTTTGGTTGCCAAACGCTTCCAGAAGTTAAAAATGGCTTAAAAGCTGGTTTGTTTGTTCTCTTTGTTGTTTTGTAACAAATACTTTTTGGCCCTTGGTCTGCAAAGTGCAAACTACAAAGCAAGAGCTTTTTCCTCAACGCTTGCATATTTCTTCTTTATGCTTCATTAAGTTTTTTTCCTCTCTTTAATCTATTCTTTCCAAGTTTGTTTTTGGTTTTAGAATTTTTTTTGGTATCACTCTAGTTTACATATTGTTCTGGGGACTCTATTTTATAGAGCCCATCTTTTGTAGTACCTGCAATAGGAAGGACCATCTAAATGGTCAAAAGTCATTTCTACATCCAATTTGCAAAAGGATCCTTTTTTCTCCTTTTTTCAGTCCCCAACCAAAAACTTCATTCACTATGAGGGCAGCATCAGTTATCTGTCTTCCCTGAATAAATACGTCCTGATATCCACAAACAAGTTTGCTGATCACTTTCTTCAATCTTTCAGCTAGAGATTTGGCAGCTATATTGTAAATGCTACTAATCAAACTAAGAGGCCTGAAATCCTTCAATTTTACTGCACCTTCTTCCTTTGGTATTAAAGCAATAAATGTGGCATTACAGCTTCTGATCGTCTGCCCGTTCTGATGGAAGATTCAAGTGCTCGCAGAATGCCATTCTTTATTTCTCCATGCCTTTTGATAGAATGCCATAGTAAAGCCATCTGGTCCATATGCTTTATCAGGATTCAGGTGCACTAGAATTGATAATTTCCAGTACCTCTTCTTCTTCAAATGGCCTTTCCAACCAAATTATATTGTGCAGGGTGTTAGAGTGTCTCACATTGGTTGAGGAATGGATTTTTGTTATATTGTTTTGACAATCCTCATCTCATGAGCAACCTTTTGGGATTGAGTTAGGCAATGTCTATTTCCTTTATGGCCTCCTTATCCCTTTTTGACGCCTACTATTTCTCGTATTATGATTTTCTTTTGAACTAAAATCTATCAATGTGGAAGGTTTTGGTCAGACCTTACTTGTATACAAATATTAAAAATAAAGATATGAAGGGGAGAAACATAATGGCTTTTGCTCATCATACATCAGATTAATTCCATTACAAAAAAATAATATATGATAGAACTATCTAAATGCAAATTCTTTTGCTGGAAAGAGTCCTCATTTTGAAAAGAATTCTAGAAAATTTAACTTTAAGGAGAAAGAATCCTCTCTAGAATAAAGATATTAAGTTTCATGGGACATGGATATGCCTCTTCACATGTGATTTACAGAAAGCATAAAGCGACTTCGTTTACAAAAGATACTATATTTTGAGGGATATTCCCTTCAAATTAAAAACTTCTCTTGTTACCTTAGAATTTTCCGAAGGTACCTAGACATATTTTATCTGAATCTAATTGTGACGATAATATACCTGTTATTGCACTCTGTTTGTCTAATGATCAATGCATCAGCATTGATGTGTTTTAGCTCTAAGAAGTGTTAAAATTTGATACATCCTCCTATAGTAGATCACTTTCCTTGTTCGTATTAACTTTTGTTTTTTCCCCTCTCTTGATGTGCAGGAAGGCTACTAACTGCCCTTATATGTGAATATTTGGATTGGGCTCAATTAAACCATTCACTTAAAGTTTATTTGCCAGAGTGTAATTTGGTAATCATGTACGGGATTCTCCCGAGCAAATATATACTGTTCTTTGCAAAATCTTGTCAGTATCTTGTTCTACTTATGAAGGACCCGTTATGTGATTGTGTAGCCAAAGGATTCGTGGAAATCTGAGCTAAAAGAATTTAGCAGCAAGAATGGATATGATCTTAACAGGAATGGTGATAGCGCTCCCTTGCTTTTGGATGTTCTTGAAGGATTCTTGAAATATGAGGTTGGGTAAAATCTTTTAGTTTAGATGTCAATATAGTCTGACAAATGATTATTATTATTATTATTATTTTGTTTGATATGTGTAATTTTTTTTAAATATAGTATTTGCAAATAACAGTTTCCTGTACTATTTCTTAGCTGCGACTTCCTCTCTATACACAATTCCGTTTTTGTGGGTTGTGCTGTAATAAGAAAGATCTTGCTATGACCATACCGATTCTCTCAAAATGTGGGTAAATATGGAAGTCTGCGGTTAGGAATTATAGCAAGTATTGTTACTAAAATTTATTTTTTTTGCAGAATTTATCTCAAGCAATGGGGGCTGGAAGGAGATTTACTGCACCAGATGCTGGATCTCTTTCCAATACTGAAGCTAGGAACATTAGGAAGCCTTCTTCATCTTCAGTTGCTGGAGGCTTACCTCCATTGGGAAGGTTAACATATAAAACATTATCACTTCTTCTCTTACCCTCTCATTTGATTTAAATTTGACTTGGTACCATTTTACACCACAGGTCAGGTCCTGCTGCCCAGTCATCTGGTAAGTAGTCTAGCTGATCTTTTTTTTTCCCCCTTTTCTTTTCCTGTTGGTAATTAATTCCCAGATAAGTGCATGAATTTCTGATCTTGTTGAGATTCTAGACAGAAGGGCAGGTTCATCTATATCTGGATATAGGAAAGATGAATACAACTGGAGATACGAAAATGATGAGCTTCCGCAGGATGTAATGCTTGCCTCATCTGCCTTAGAAAACCTTCAATTGGACAGAAAAGCTTGGAACCTTACCTCTTCATGGAGGTCAGTCTTTAAACTTTCAGTGGGATTTAATTACAGATTTGATTTTAATGTAATTATCTATTGGCATGAGTTCCAAAGAATNCGGTCAGGCTTTAAACTCTCAGTGGGATTTAATTACAGTTTTGGTTTTAATATAATTATCTATTGGCGTGAGTGCAAAAGAATTCGTATGTTTTAAGATCTGGCTTGGAGGGTACTTCAACTTATCAAAAAAATTCTGGCTTGGAGGGTAATCTTTAGAAGAAAGGCAACCTTATCGCTTCTATTAAGGAGTGTTAGTAATGTGCTTATTGTGAAATTCATTTAGAGCTTAAACTTCAGAAGAGTCAGATTGTGGTGTAGGTTTTATGCTACTTTTCGTTCTTTTGATGGGAGGGCTTATGCTACTTATTTATAGACATTTCCGTGATGAATGGGACGATGTCAATGTAAAAGCAGCTTAAATATGATGTCAGCATGGCCTCTGTTTTCGGGGGTGGGGGTGTAGGCATTACCAAACAGGTTCTTAATTGTACTCCATAATTGGTGTGCAACCTGACAGCGTAGCAGCATGTGGTCCATAGCTTTACCCAACCTCTTAAACGTAGCACCTGTTAGGCTGTTAATATGAGTCATCTTCCTTTTCCTCAAATTCTCAGCAAAAGATAGCCCCCCATATTGCCAACCAACGGAAGCACTTTTTCTAGGCTCCCGTGGACTCGTACTGAGGCATGACAAAAAGCCAGGTCGTCCAGCCTCAGTTATATGTAATAAAAATCCTTAACTGTGAAAAATTCCTTTGCTTTGTCCTTGCTTTCGAAAGATTGAACCGTCGGTGAGATTCTGCTTATAAAGTATCTAAACTAAGTCCTGAAATTCGTCAACTTCCCAATCCAGTAAGTTCCTCCTCAACTTCAAAACATATCCTCACTCTGCATTATGTTTGGAAGTATACTAGATAAAGTGCTCATTATCAGTTTTCCTTCCCTCAGCAGGGTGGTAAAGCAAGAGCTATTATCAATCAGTGTTTCCTTCGCTCTTTGGATTAGTATCTCTCTGCCACCTTGCTGACCTTTTCTCCTCTCTTTCAGTTATCAAATTCTAGAATTCACATATCTTGTGGGAGAAATACAATGGTTGATCCAAGTACATCGCCGGAGTGACCCAATCTTGCATTGGAATACCACCTTAGCCTGCGATTGCAGCGTGTGCTGTAACGCTGTATGGAGTGACTTTGTTAGAATTGATCATATCTTTGTGTAGAAAGGTCCAAATGACAACCATTCTGATCTGTTGAAAACTAAAATCCCAGCACAATTTTGCTTTGTAGCACCATGCCCATATTCCTTGTACAATTAAGAGGTTGTGACCTTTTGAGATAGAGTCATGTTCACTTGCTAGAAATTGTAGCTGTTGCCTAAGTTTTCATCACCTTTGGCCTTAACCAGTATTGTTCTTTGTCAGTTGACTTTAAATCCATGTGCTTTCAAGCTTCTTCAAGTTCTACCTTGGCTTGTAAAATAACTTGTATTGATTGCACCGAGTTTCTTGTCAATATACCATGATCAAATGTGATAAAAAGCATTAGCCCTTGTCGCGCTCTCTCGGTGTGTGTGTGTACAGTAAAAAGGTTGTTCTGTACTTCTGTTATACTTAAAAGTTAAGAAGTTGTACATTGATATAAATGACATTGACAATTTAACCCACCCACCCCCCACCCCCCAACCCAAAAAAAAAACAAAAAAACATTGCCTTGAAAAGTGCTCCCATTTTATTAGACCTAGTAGAAGTTTTTGTTACATGAGCAGAGGGAATTTGTTCAATTACCACTGTGATAAGTGATGACCAAGAAAATCTGCTGAAGTTCTTGAAAAACTTGCATACTCTAGTTTTTCCACCTTCGAGTTCACTGCCGATACTTTCTCACCTTGTCACCCCTTTTTTTTTTTTTTGATGACCGAGAAATCCGTTTGGGGCCGATCCTTTGGACCAACCGCAGCCTTCGAAACTCGGTGGATAATGGGCCCGCCCCTCTCTCACCTTGTCACCCCTTTTTTTTTTTTTTGATGACCGAGAAATCCGTTTGGGGCCGATCCTTTGGACCAACCGCAGCCTTCGAAACTCGGTGGATAATGGGCCCGCCCCTCTCTCACCTTGTCACCCCTTTTCCATAATAAGGTTTTGTCTCTCCATTTGTCAGGCATTGCATAGTTGACCTTCAAGTTCTACCTTGGCTTGTAAAATAACTTTTATTGACTGCACCAAGGTTCCTATCAATATACCAATGGTCGAATGGGATAAAAAGCGTTAGCCCTTGTTACTATGTATGTCTCCCTTGTCACTGTTTCTTCCACCCTCTGTGTGTGCGCGCGCAACAACAACAACAACATACCCAGTATAATCCCACATGTGTGTGGGTGGGTGCGCGCACACGTATGGTAAAAATGTCGGTCTGTTATAGTTAAGAACAGGTTGTACGTCATTATAAATTTCATTTCCAATTAATCTAAAAAAAGCACATTGCATCGTTCAAAAGTGCTCCCATGCTATTAGATTGAGTAGAAAATTTTGTTACATAGTGATAAACGATGACCAAGAACTGATGATAAGCTGCTGATTTTCTTGAAAAAAATTGCATACTCTAGTTTTTCCTTTTATTGATGTCTGTCGTTTGTCATACTTCCTAAACTGCTTTCCAGCAAATGAAGCGGTATCTCAACTTGTGCTGAATCGGATTGCAGGCACAGAGGTGATGACATGTCTGAGGATGATAGCAGGGGAGAATAGATGAGATGTGTGGTCTCCAAATCACCGAGATGGGAATTGATGATGTCCTTCTAACTTAGAAATGCAATGTTCTGATGTATGCTGTGTATGATTTAAATACTATATTGCTTGTAGTAATTGGTGTGAGCTTCTCATTTTCTTTTCTTTTTTCTTGTATCATTTATCATTTCCCCCCTGTTTTACGAAATCCCTCTGTGGCTAAGCAGCCGCGCTTAAAGAATTTTTCTTATCATATGACGGTTGCTCTTGAGTTGGATGCCATGCGTGATTACTAGAAGCTGTTTCTCTGTGGTATTACTGTTTGCAGCAAGTCAGCAACTAATATGACCTTTATTTGTAGCCCTTCATTTGACTCGTTGACAGTAGGGAGACTGAAATTCAGTTCCTGAGCAGGCTTATAAACAGTGTAAAATTTTACTTTAAAAAATTCATTTTTGCTAAAACTGAAAGTAACCGATTTTCGAGTGTTGCTTGTTCAAATAACTGGTAGATGTTCTTTTCTTGTTCTTTAACGAAAGGCTGGGAATGGTAGCGTTGATTTCGAATCCAACTATAACGACTGCTAATTCTTGTCCAACTTTTTATTCTGTGCTATTTCGGAGTAGAAATGTTTCTAAGGGTTGCAGTTGTTGGACGAATATTTGATGCATCTAATGTTGTAAAAACAAGCGCGAAATGGGATGAAATCTAGTGAGTTTTTAACTTTAGATTAACATATCAGTGATAAATGTAAATGTAATAAGGAATCAATTTTATATTGGCCTCAATATGAAAATTTAATTGTTTCGTTTTACATTTAGCTCCAGTATACACAAATATGATTAGTTAATCAAAGGAAGCAACAACAAACCTAGTAGTATCCCGCAAGTGGGGTCTGAGGAGGGTAAGATGTACGCAGTTTTACCCCTACTCTTGGAAGGACAGAAAGGTTGTTTCCGATAAACCCTCGGCTAGAGAACGATTGAAAAAGAAAAGGTAATTACAACAAGTAGGAATAATAGCAAGATGAAATAAGATTGAATCCAAGACTGAAGTCAAACTCTAGGTGGTAATAGCCATCTATGGATAAAAGATATCATACTAACACTAATGCTAACGAACTGAGCAAGAGAAAGAGAAATGCTCGACTACCTACGAACCTTCTACCCTAATCTTTGACCTACACACCCTCCTGTCTGGGGCCATGTCCTCAGTCAGCTCCAGCTGCGCCATGTCCCACCTAATAACCTCTCCCCAAGACTTTTTAGGCCTACCTCTACCCCTCCTGCTACCCGTTGAGGCTAACCGCTCGTACCTTCTAACTGGGGCTTCTATACTTCTCCTCTTAACATGCCTGAACTATTTCAACCTCGCCTCCCGCATCTTATCCTCCATAGGGGCCACTCCCACCTTTTCCTGAATAACTTCATTCCTAATCTTATCCAACCAGGTATGCTCACACATCCACCTCAACATCCTCATCTCAGCTACTTTTAGATTCTGGGTATGAGAGTTCTTGACCGGCCAACACTCTGCTCCATACAACATAGTTGGTGTCTCACCACAAGAACTTACCTTTAAGTTTTAGCGGCACATTCTTATCACACAAGACACCAGAAGCGAGCCTCCACTTCATCCATCTTGCTCCGATACGATGCGTGACATCTTCATCAATCTCTCCATTACCTTGTATTATAGATCCATGATACTCGAAACTACCTCTCTTGGCGATGACTTGCGTATCAAGCCTCACCACCATATCCCCTTCCTGGGTACCGTTGCTGAACTTGCACTTCAAGTATTCCGTATTGGTCCTGCTCAACTTGAAACCCTTAGACTCTAGGGTCTGCCTCCAAACCTCCAGCCTCTCGTTAACACCATCCCGCATCTCGTCAATTAAAACTATGTCATCAGCAAATAACATACATCATGGCACCTCACCTTGAATGTGTCTCGTCAATGCGTCCATCGCCAAGGAAAATAGGAATGGACTAAAAGATGATCCCTGGTGCAACCCCATCACAACCGGAAAAAGCGTGTTTTAGAATGACTTATTTTAATTTCCTTCCACAACTGAATTAATCTATGGGGTAAGAAAACAAAAGACAATAAAAGCAAATCAAGATAAGCTCAAATGCTCGATAGCTAGTGCCTAATAGAAAAAAGGGCAGCCCAGTGTACTAAGCTCTCGCTATGCGCAGGTCTGGGGAAGGGCCGGACTAGTGCCTAATAGAAAAAAACTAGATATTGTCAACTTAGTACAGACCTCGTCAAGAATCATTGCCCAGTCGATCATATTAGTAGGAAAATAACTATTCTGCTATTTATTGCTACCCCATGTATAATATCCATCATTGTGATTTCCCGTACTGTGCAACAGCAGTCGAAGAATACTTTTTAGTATTAGTTTTCCAAAATTAGTCTCCAAAGGGTGGCCTTTTTTGTGGGGGTGGGGAGCAACTAGTATTTTCTTACATGCATCAAGAAGTCCTTGTCTTGGTCAGCCAACAAAATATACATTTGAAGATAGAAGACAATTGAGAACGATTTTACAAAGAGTAATCAAAAGTCCCTTTTGTTTTACACCATTCTACATATTATTCTCACTTTTAATGAACAAGCAACTGATTATACGAATGCCCTGAAGGAAGGGAAGGGATAAAGGGAAGAAAAGAATACGAAAATTATTCTTCTATTATAGTGGACCACTATTGAGGGCATTCCACTTCTGGCCCTTCGAGATTTCCATCTTTAGGATTCTTGCACTTTCTCCTCCAACTGATGACCGTTCATTTCCTTCTGCTCTTCATTCACATTTTTGGTGTCATTAACCTCCTCGGCCGGCTTCCCCTGTTTCACTCAATTATTTTTATACTAGATATTGAACCGATCATGGTTTGCTATTAAAGAACAAAGAAACAAGAAGGCTGATATATTTTTACAATTTCAACCACCTACTAAAATTCTGTGGTTTGTAACTTTTAAGTAAAGGAAATCGGCAGTTGCACCATCAAATAATTCTAGCCAATACTTTAACATGGATATTTGCATCACAACTTCTTTTGCACTTCGTAATTAAATGTGTTGACATGTACAATCACACATGAAAATGAGAAACATATGTGAATGTTTCATATTAGTATTTTGTTATTACTCTTATCATAATAACAATCTAGCGGGGTAATAAAGCATGACAATAGAATACATAAAGGTTGATATTGATGCTAATTGAGATGTTCAATTTGCAATATGTCTATGGATGGACATACCAGCAATAAGTCACAGCATTAGCAAGTTAGACAGATCAACAAATATAGTGAATTGGACTAGTCAACTTTCTTGGTAAATCATAAAGGCTGGAGGCTGGCAATCTTACAAGTGAAAATGTGATGTCTAACAATTGCCAGAAAGGTGATAAGCCAGTCAACTAGATTTCATCCCTAAATTGGAGAAATTTTACGACTTACCTTGCTGCTGTCACGCCAGCCAAGTCCAAACGGTCTTGAAAGCAAGCTGATCTTTCTAGCAGGTATCTCTTGTGATGAATCTATATTGCTCCCTACAGGAGATGAATCTTGCTGTGTGGATCTATAAAAGAATGTGCTCTTCCATGTTAAGAGAAAATACAAGATATGCATTAATAAATGTAGTATTGTTTTCTTATCACTCTTAACATAGACATGGTATTCTCCTTTGGCAACAATAAAGCAGTTTCAATGGCAAGTAAAAGACTAACTAGAAATAGTGTCAGTAAAGAACACCATGATTACCAGGGCATATGATAGTGTGTTTAATACTGCAATAAAAGTACATGATGTAAGCGCGGGTATATACCTCGGAGAAGGTAGTACTTTATCTTGACCAGATTGGTACTGCAAGGTAGCCTCCAACATTGTTTCTGCCATAACCACCCTCTTTTCCATCTCAGCGAGGGAAGCAATGGTTTCTTCATACTTTTCCTGCAGGTTGTCGCAGTGACACACAAGATGTTCAACATATCAGCAAACTAATGTCATATTTCCAAATTTAAGTTCCCCTATCATGCATGAACTGATGAACTAGATAAGTTTGAGTAGAGAAACAAAGAATCTGATGGAGTAAGAGTTCCCAGATAAAGAATTAGAAATCCAAATGTTTCACCATGAAATTCAATCAAAGAAGAAACCTGTAGCACTTGAGAGGCATGTCTTTGCGATGCTGCATCTTGTTCAGCGGATATACGAGCATCTTCTGTTACCCTCTGTTCTTGCTCCACCCTCATCAAAACCTATAAAAATTAAATAAATAAACCCAAAATTGAAAGAAAGGGGGATTAGGAGATAATGTTCCGATACATCATCAAACAAGCAATGAAAATTGTCACCTGAAGCATGGCATTCTCTTGTTCTTGCTTAGCAGCAAGTGCCTGTCGAAGCTCAGCAACCTGTCTTTCTAATTGCTCAACCTGAGTCCATACGAAAATACCAATGTTCAAATGTAATTGTGTTAAATTCAAAATTTTCAAGTAAAAGGAAGATGATATATGCCAAAAGCAACCATCACTTTGTGGAGCAGAGTACGACAAATAAAAGCTCTAAGTTCAAATGCACAGCAGGTAATGGTGAGGGAGTCTATTGTGCTAACCATCTAGAAATTCCTCAAGTCTACTGAAATAGATGCGTGGAAGCACAGTCACAGTACGCCAAAAGGATTCACGGCACATTGTGTTATTTATAGAGAATGTGGTTCAGGTGTATATTCGGGTATGAAAAGTTGCATTTATTGTCATAGTCAAGTTCAACCTGGGATACTGCTGAAGGCACGAGCATACCTATAAAACCACCATTCTCCCATAGATCAATGTAAGCAGGAGCAGATTATACATGTTAGAAGAGACAGGGAATCCGGGCTAACATTAATTAGATTATTAGGTGGCTCCGCTTATACCTGCTCCATGAATAGGAGAGGCACCTAAATGCAAGCTGGAAGGTTAGGTGGCTCAGCTTATACCTTCTCCATGAATAGGAGAGGCGGCTAAATGCAAGCTGGAAGGAATGGACTGGAAGCACGGTTGTTCTTTTTCCTTTGTTTTGGGTGTTTGGGAGGAAATGAGTTGGGTATATAACTTCCTACTCTGAAGAAAGACATAATTCATTTATCAAGAAGCTTCTCAAATACCCTTGCGCTCAACTGCCGCCTGTTATCCTGCTTGACCATCTCCATCAATGCTGTTTCCAGCTCCTCAGCTCTGCGGACAAGGGAAAAAAATGAGGAAAAAGATATCAGTCCCCTATCAATATGAGGTCTAGGTCC